ATTGCAGGCAAAATAAACATAATGAAACATGACTAGCTTTCCACGGCGTAGGCATTCCACCCATCGCTTCTAGTTTCCTTGGAGATCGGAATAGCTCTCGGGGGACCAAGGAACCGTACTAAATAGAGGCTTAAATCTTAGTGCTACCGATACATTTTTCGCTCTATTCGAAACCACATCTAACAGAAATTTCACTCCTCTATAAAGTTATTATCAAGTTCAAAAATCCCTAACAGAAGACAAAATTTAAACCTGGCTTTAACCGCCAGTGAATTTAAAGCCATTAAATCTTTGAAATTAAATAATGATAATATTGTCAAGAAGGCAGATAAAGGCAACGCCACGGAGATTATGGATAAGTTACAATATATCAGCAGATGCCATGAAATGCTCAACAATTCTTATCGTCCCCTAAATACTGATTCTACCTCCATCTCCTTCATAAACTCTAAGCATTTCTTCAGGATATTGTGCAGTGTATCACAAGTTCTTCTGTTCCACTGAAACCCGTCTCAAATTCAACCGTATTATCTGGCATCTTATTATTACTGCTTGCCTAAAACATATAAACCTGCTGCTCCTTTTAGACCCATGTCGCTACTGTGAACCATTTTCTGCAGAGGTTTCAAAATGAACCGCAGAACTAGAGTTTTAATTGAAAAAACACATCATACACAAAGACTGTGATGAACTTTGGAAGGAAATGAAAGAGATAAAGCCGTATAAATGGAACATTATGGTTAGTTATGAGATAAAGAATTCATTCACTAATGTTCCTGTTTATTATACAATTAAAGTAATAGCTAAACTTTATCTGGCTGATGACTCATTTAAAAAAACGTACTAACCTCTCAGTTAATTCTGTTATAAGGTTAGTAACTCTGCATGGTAAAAACGATCTTTTCCTCCATCGATGGTAAGTTCTTCAAACAAGTCACAACGGACCACATGAGCAACCCACTTTTCCCCACTTAAGCCTAAATTTTGATGGAACATTTTTAAATTATGACATGAAAACCAACACTGACTTGATTCCAAAAGATTCTAAAAGACATGCTGACGATATCTTTTGCCCTCTACTCCAGCAAAAATGAAAATAAACTGTCAAACATTCTCAAACAAAAGGCTCCCCCAAAACATCAGGCTAACCGTTGAAAAGAAAAATAACTCATATTTACCCTTTTTTGTTGTATCAATAATCAATTCTGGTAATTGCTATAAGTCTAAAGTTAATCGCAAACCTACTAACGCTGATAATAGCTCAACATTAACTCAGATGACCGTTTAAATAACAAAAAATCAGTATTTATAGCTTTGATAAACAGAGCTCTTAAACCATTGTAATGAATTTTTCAAAGACAATTGAAACATATTAAGACAGCGTTATGTGATAAAAGCAAATATCCTGTTGAGTTTGCTAATATCATAAACTGTAGAATCAGTTATTTCAATCTCCCTGAAACACCAATATTCTCAGAAAAAATTCAAATAATGGACCGCATCTAATTCTACCGTAAAATAAAAAGCTAAGCGAAAAATTGCAAGGACTACTTAACATTAAATACATTATTAATGCCATATATAAAGTTCCAACAAACTTAGTACTTTTTTAATAAACTTTGATAATAACAACTCATTAGGTTAGATTTAAAAACTTCCTTGCGACCACCGGATATAATACTTAGAAAAAAAACCGGAAACGTGATATCTCATCGATGGATGGGCGCAGACGAATGCAAACGACATGGGACAACAAAGCGTATAGATAGAAAACAAACTCTCCCTCATAATAACGTCAACGAATAATGCGAGAAGGCTTCAGAAATCGTGTAACAAGCAGAAAAATGCCACTATCCCAAATGGCTGCACTGCGCAGGCATCGTTAAAGAAAAAAATCCTAACATCCTAATTCAAGAAGCCTCAATTATCCAATCGTGTGAAAATCTTAACAGGGACAAAGGAAATAAACTCTGCGCGGATTGGACAAACCCCATGAAGCTCGTTATCGAAAACTACTTAATCAGGAGTATTGGCTAAACGCCCACATTTGGTTCCAGCTGCAGTCTAGAAAACCAACTGCGTAAATCAATCCGCCACCCTAAACATGGCACGTTGAGAGTGTAACCAGTGTTGATACTGATCAATCATCTGATTTACCAATTGGTTTGGTTGAACTATCTACAAATAAAGCATTTTTATACAAAATTCACCTTCAACCTGTATCGATACAGTGTGCTGGCAACTTATTTGTGAAAATTTGTTGATTGGAACAAATTGGCAGCAGTTGAGCCAGAGAAGAGTATCTCAAAATCTTGTTCGACTGAGAAGTCTTTGCTGAGGCTTCCAGAAAACGAGGAATAAGGGTAAGTGATACAAAGAATGCAAATGCACAAAATGCTATGACATGAGCCATACATTGGTATCAGATGCAGCAGCATGGTTTTTGCCTGGTCCCTGGGTGCTTTAATATTCAAAATTTAGGTTATGTTTACCCATCTTTGTCACAACGGTACCAAGTTTTTCGTAAAAATCTAGTTCCGGTGAAGCGTAGGTCCAATCAAAAATCCAATCTCTGAGTTTGAACAGGGGGAAGTCGAAGCACGGAAGAGAACCTCTACACCTCATCGATTTACTGATCACATAAATTCATGGATCCGAAAACTAGCATTTTTGACCTGGGTAGGCAAAAAACCCAAAACGTTTAAGATACGTCTTGGGGGTCACAAAAATGCACTTGCTTCGGACTGTCCGCATTAAACCAACTAACCAGGTAGTGACCTTCTTATTTGAGACGCTGTAAGTTCAAACAATTTCAAGGCTCGCACTAAGCCACTGCCTCAAATTATCAATGCGGATGTCAGGCTGGACAAACATCCATGTTGTCATATTTTTAGTCATAAATTAGTCACGTTAGCACCATTCGAAGCTTGCGAGAAAAAAAATGCTGAAAGATTTCGATCACGACTTGTGTTATATCAGTCGTGATCCGTCGCCAATTTTAAGAATCTAAACTGAATGCACACCCTACAGAAAACTTCAACGCTCTTATAGCATTGTACCTCATCCGACTGTGGAGAAAGACGAAAAACGTGATCGATACTGGTGTTAATTTAGGGCGCTAACACGTGGTAAAAAGTCACCTCAGTATGCACTGCTGGCCACTGCACCATTTTCCCCTCAATATACACAAGAGCATTCCGACTTTACTTCTTTTTACCTATTCTCATATTTATACTGTATATACCTTCAGTGATCATATGATAACGTGACTCTTTTGAGAAGCAAAGGCATTCATGCGCAATGGCATAATAGTAAACTTAATTCATCACTAAAGATTCAAATTTGTACTCTCAGTGTGTAAAGGCGAGAACAAGTCAGTTAAGAGTACAAGTACTGGTATAAACCATTTTTTAAATGACACGAAAGAAATTATGAAATCGCAACGTGAGACAACTGGCTATTTCCAATGATGCCTGACAACAGAAAAAGTTTCAGAAAGATTTTGAGCCGATTGTATTAAAACAACTTCTGCTTGCAATTCTGCACCTTACTGGATTTTAGGTTCAATCGATATATTGATCGAGGTCTTTCGACCCCTTCCGTAACCCTTTCGGACTATACAGTCACCATTCAATACAGACATCATTCAGTTATCAGGCTGATCACTGAGAGAGGGGGCAAGTTTATTGCTCTCGCGAAAATGAGTCCGGCAGCACCGGGTTTACGCTCGAAACTTACAAGCAAACTAGGAACCAAGAGATGTGTCATTTCAGCAGACAACACTATAAAAAGTATGCTGTGTACTGCATGTTTGAATACTCGTTTTTTGTCTGAGTGATGATATCTGCCATACGGCAGGTCGATACAAACTCTATATACTAGCAGGTAATTACAGAAATTCGCCTACCGAGGAACGGGACACTTGACCTAGAGAACGGAAGTCATTTTGATAGTCAGGTGATAGTAGATGACGCCATGCCAGT